TGTATTCATGAACTGATTATGAGAACTGAAGCTTCAACTGTTTATGACATGCTAAGTAATCTAGACTGAGACTCATGGGCATCAAACCTAAGTCTATATTGATTACGTACTGAGCTCACAACGTTCAGAATGAAAGTCATGAACGAGTTATGAAGCTAGAGAATAGAAGTTCTATAACTATTCAAGGAACTAAGCTTAACTATATTTCTGAGGTAATTAGTAACGTTGTAAAAGAAACTTAGTGTAGGAAAACTTATTAACATTCACAAACATAAAGAGTTAGCCTCACGTACCTTAACTTCCTGCTCTTGAGCATAATACAACATTCGCCAACCCTTTAATCTTTAATCTATATCAATACAAGTCAAAGAGATTCCATATTAGCAATAATACCCTTGTTTTGGTCACTTAGGCATTTTATCAAACACCTTATGGGCGTAAAGCCTCATAGCCCTCATTAATGGTGTTTCTACACCTAACAACCCATTCTCTTGCTCCTAGATAAATTCTAACATCTCAATTTTCTTATAATCAATATCATTCTTCTTCGCCCTTAAGTTAAACAACACCCTTAACCAATAATAAAAAATCAACAACCCAAACCTATAATCGTTCATGCTTTTCTATTAAACCCATCAACTCATATCTCATGAACTTAGAGTCTATAATCATTTATTCAGTCCTCTTGAATTCGAGTTCTAAGGTTTCTTTTCTCAACCATGATGTCCCAATCGGATATCTAATGATTTAAAGGGGTTACTCATATTTAAAAGGTGTTGGAGAATTGAAATTAACTTAGAATCACTATTAGAATTTACCTTGGATGGTGGAGGGACCTTTAAGGAGTTAGGTTCTTGAGAGTTTCCTTTCTATAGCAAGTTTTTGTGTTTTGGGGTGTGGGTGACGAAGTAGGTCTTTTAAAATGACTTTCCGGGTGTGCCTCCACTCAGCTGAAGGCCCAACCACGCACCTGAACGCGCATCAAAGGCAGTGGCTATCACGACCCAAGTTTCTCCCTCCGTGAATTATCGTGACGGAACCTAGTCCCTACGATTACGTAAGTCTAATATTGCGGAAATGAAATAAAAATACAAAGATAACAGCTAACGAATATAGTTAATAAGCAAAAACGTGCCGCTTGGCATATACAATAATCACTTTTCCCAAAACTCGGAAAGTCACAATGTCACAAGCTTCTAAGAAGTCCTAACTGTTCTATACATCATTTCTACGGAAAAGAAGAAAATGAACATAGGGGATAGAAGGGGACTTCGAGGTCTGCGGACACGGCAGATGTACCTTGAAGCAGCAACCACACATCTAGATTCGAGGCTGATAGCTAGTACATGGATCTGTACACGGAAAATATATGCAGGAAAGGGCATGAGTACACCATAACAGTACCAGTAAGTGCCAAGCCTAACTTCGGTCGAGTAGTGACGAGATCAGGTTAGGGCCCTACTGGTAAATATAATGAAATAAGACAGAAAGAATATTAAAATTAAGTATTACAATAAAATAAGTACGGAAATATACTAGTAAATATTACAATTTTATTTATTACAATAAAATAAATACGGAAATTTAATAGGAATAGAACTCAATGGAAACCAACAACTCAGAATACAGTAATAGCAACATGGGGATCTCCCTGAATACCGTTCCATAGTCCCAAATGTAAATATGCAGGGGACCTCCCGAAATACTGTTCCGTAGTCCCAAAGTAAATATGCAGTGCTGGGGGATCTCCCGGAATACCGTTCCGTAGTCCCAATATAAATATGCAGTACAAGAGGATCTCTCGCAATACCGCTCCATAATCCCAAAGTAAATATGCAGTGCTGGGGGATCTCCCGGAATACCGTTCCGTAGTCCCAATATAAATATGCAGTACAAGAGGATCTCTCGCAATACCGCTCCATAATCCCAAAGTAAATATGCAGCTCAACCAAACAGAGATAACAATTACAACAAGAAACCGCAATTTAGACAGTCCGAGTCAAGGAGGAACAAGAAATTTCACTAAAACATGCTGCACAGAGTTTAGATAGGCAGTTAAGCTAGTTAAAGCGTGTAGGCATGATTTCTTAAACTAAACAGGATTATTACATATGCTAGTGTTGCTCAATTAAAGGAAAAACAGATATTTGCTTAATGAAAATGGGGGTTTTCAACAAATAGCTCGTGTACGCACTCGTCACCTCACGTACACGATGCTCATATATCATATAGTACCAAATCCTAAGGGGAATTCCCCCATACAAGGTTAGGCAAGCCACTTACCTCGAATCAAAGGCCACTTAAAACTCAATTACAGCTTTGCCTTTCAAACACGCCTTCGAACCAACAATATCTAGCAAATTACCAACCAAACGTTTCAAAGTAAGCCTTAGGAATCACGCACGATATTAAAGGACTCAATTTAGGTCATTATTGAAAAGTTAACAAAAGTAAACACCCAGGCCCACTTGGTCTAAACTCGAAATTCAAACCAAAACACGATTACTCATTTACCCCCGAGTCCGGATATACAACTGGTTTTGGAATCCGACCTCAATTTGAGGTCAAAATCCCCAAATTTGGAAATCCCTAGTTTCTACCCAAAAATCCCAAATTCCACCATGAACACCTTAGATTCTAGGTTGAAATCTTGTAAAACACCGTGAAAGATTAAAAGAAACTAGTTAAGAATTACTTACCTATGATTTGGGGAAGAAGAAGTCTTTGGAAAATCGCCTCTTGTGTTTTTGGTTTTGAAAATTTGAAGAATGAATGAAACATCCCGTCCAAAAGTCATTTTTGATCAGTTGCAGGTATCACATTTGCGACTTGGGGTTCGCAAATGCGAGCCCCGCAAATGCGAAGAACCTATCGCAAATGCGAAGGTCTCCCCATTCCTGCTTTCATTGCAAATGCGAAGAAAGTCTCGCAAATGCGAGCCTGATCTTCTGCAATTGTGACCAATTGCGAATACTGCTGGCCCAGCTCCTCCTCGCAAATGCGGACCCCTCAAAGATCGCAATTGTGATGCCACATCTGGCAAATGCGAGATCAGAGGCCCGCAACCTGCTCAGTTACACCAGCAATTCTTTTTCAAGTTCAAATCACTCCGTAGCCTATCCGAAACTCACCCGAGCCTTCTGGGCTCCAAACCAAACATGCACACAAGTCTTAACACATCATACGAACTTGTTCGCGTGATCAAATCGCCAAAATAACACCTAGAAACACGAGTTTAGCACCAAATAGAATGAAATTCTCAAGAACACTTTGAAATTTCTATTTTCTCAACCGAACGTCCGAATCATGTCAAACCAATTCCATTTTTCATCAAATTTCACAGACAAGTCTTAAATATTGTATTGAACCTGTACCAAGCTCTGGAACCAAAATACAGACCCCATACCAACAAGATCAAACATTAAGAATTTCTTAAAAACCATTAAATTTTTAGACTCTCAATTTTCAACAAAAATTCATAACTTGAGCTAGGGACCACCAATTCCGATTCCGGGCATACGCCCAGGTCCCATATTTTGATACGGACCCACAGGACTGTCAAAACATGAATCCGGATCCGTTTACCAAAAATATTCACCGAAGTCAACTCAAATAAAGTTTTTAATCAAAAATACTTATTTTTATCAACTTCAACATAAAAACTTTCTGGAAATACGTCCGAACTGCGCATGCAAATCGAGAAGGGATAAAATAAGGTTTTTAAAGCTTCGGAACATAGAAGTTGGTTGTAATTCATAAGATGATCTATCGGGTCATCACAGTGGCATTGCCACAGGTGCGCGGTCGCGTACTTGAGCGCACACACTGCACATTGTCCAGTGAAACGCACATAACATTTTGTACAAAGATTTATTCGGGATCCACAATATATTATTGGAAAGGTATTTCAAAGGGATACAACTTTGATGTTTTGAGTTTTCTCAACTTCCTAACAGAATTTCATGGAATCAGGCTTATTCGATTTTTATCGAATCTTATGCACCCCACTTTCCGTCTTGATTTCAAAACAACTATTTCCATCCATACTCATCCCAATAGAACTTCATATGTCTAAGGTGTCATATTAATACCCATTTAACACGTCCACACCTAATCTGGATTTACAGAGTGTATCATTTCCATTATAGAGGGTGTTTGGCTAAGCTTATAAGCTGGTCAAACTGGCTTATAAGCACTTTTTGGCTTATCTACGCATTTGGTAAAATTAAAAGTGCTTATAAGTTAAGTGCTTATAAGCCAAAAATAAGCCAAGAGCCATAAGTTGGTCCCCCCAACTTATCAAATTTCAGCTTATAAACACTTTAAGTTTGACCAAAATATTTACCATTCTATCCCTAAAATACTTCTTTTTAAAACAAAACTCTTTGTATACCCAGTTCTTCAGTTACTTATTATTAATTTCAGCACTTCTATTCAACACGTAACTGCTTATTTTTTAAATTAGCTTCAGCACTTACTGCTTATCAGCTATTCTAAATCAGCTAAGTCAAACGGGCTCATAGTAAATAGTAGTAATAGGCTTCTACTCCTGACAAAGCGATATTTTCCTAGATTTTAATGAAATCGTCCCTCAGCTTTATATATTAAAATGATCACAGCGGTTAGACTTTTAATGAGATTTAATTTATAAGCCTACAATTACAGCATATATTGAAGGGAAACCTTCTCTGGACTTTATATAAAGTTGCAAAAATTTACTATATCTCAATAATCTACCCGAATCTAATAAATAATTCAAACCGCTATTTATCTCTGCCACATGAAATTTACTCTTTTTAACTGCTTTACCGAATTCTTCTTCATTACTTGTACCTAAGTTAAAGTTTTCAACTCCTCTAGCCTTCTCAATAATATTCCACGTAGTCCTACTGTATCCAAGTCGCAATCACAATTAATTCTGCACTTAACAAACATCATAACTTCTCTTTCTTCTAACTTACTATATAAATCTTGGCCAACTTAGGCTCTTTCCTCCCACTCCAAGCTTACTTTCTTCCCCTCAATTCTCACTCTCTACATTGGCTACAAATCTTGATCTACTATTAGGTAAATTGTCAACTCTTCTCATCAAGGTAATTTTATCTTCTTGACATGGTCACATCTCTTTTTATTTATTTATTCTTAATCTTGGTTCTTTTTTTCTCATACTTATCTAGGTTAATTCTTTAATTATAGGATCGTTACAAAAATATATCATGAGTAGATTTACTGTTTACTTTTTCAAGCTGGTATGCATAGATTATACACTATTTATACATAGTTATATACATATTAACATGAATTATACATATATTTTACATCCGTCAGCTATTTTTAGTCCAAGCAGTTATTTGTTTCTTTTTCTAATTTTTTTTGTATTATATATATGATATAGGATTTCCTGGGCTAAAGTATCAAGAAAATAAAATGAACTATAGCAACGAGAGGCATGCAATGCTTGACTTGAAGCTGAACTTATCACCACCAAGGGCAATTTTTGCAAGAGGAGTTTCACCTTCACCAAGCAGATCATCATCATCTTCTTCTTCTTCAATGGAGAGATCATCACCAGCAGCCAGCTCATGTGTTTCTCGAGAACCGAGCCCCGACGATCAGTTTATCGGTTACCCTAGCAGCCCAGAGACAACTTCCATGATGCTTGTGGGATGCCCTAGATGTTTAATGTATGTTATGTTATCAGTGCATGAGCCAAAATGCCTTAAATGCAAGAGTACTGTTTTGCTTGATTTTTTCCATGAGGAAAGAATCAAGAACTCCAAGGGATGAACTCAAGAAACAATATTATTTTCGTTGCCTTAAGTCTTAATTTAGGTTTTAGTTTTGATATTCTCCATATCAATTTTTTTTTTTTTTTTGGGGTTTTAATTTGTTAGGGGACTGTTTTCGAAAGATGCTTTTGATTGTGTGGAATTTCGTATTACTTTTTTTTGCAGCCAATTGAGACCTAGTACTATATATGGTTGGTCCTTCATATTAAAATTTTGATGTTAGCGGCTCATATATATAGTTGCTATCTTTACTAAATGCATCCATTTTTGTTGAGACAACCCTCGTTATTACCTTCATTAACTATACACAATTCAAACGTTTGGAGTTTATTATAATTTAATTTTGTAAGATACTTCGCATAGTTTGTTGGAAGTTGGAAATTGGAAGATATTATTGTATGTTCTCAATTAAGCCATTTTGAGCAATACCACGCACTCTCCACTTTCAAAAATACTAGTAGAAAAGTACTACCTAATTATTAAAGGTCCATATTTTAAGTCTTTTAAGATTTTTGTATACTCATTCAAAAATTAAAGATATTTCGTCGGCGCTTAATTATTTATAATGAGTATATGTCTAAATTTCTATTTTTCTCTCCAGCGTTTCACTTAATCAATGCATCACTAATTAGAACAAGGAGAATATATTTGACCCTAAAGAAAAAAACAGAAGCAATATATGACTTCTTATTTTTCTAAAACATCATACATTTTGAAATATATGAGTATATTAAAATGACTAATATTTGAAACCTAAGGGAGTAATTCTAGAAAATGGGTAAAAAGACCCTATGCATGTGACTCATGCAAATTAATGAGATTAACTGCTGTCCTTTTATAGTAAGGTAAGCACTAAAATAGTGTGTTTAACCAAAAAGTGGAATTTCGGTCAAAGCTTTAATTTAGAAGAACTCGGGTTACTGATAATCAAAAAATGTATAAAAGAAAGTAATTTGGCTAGCAATAAGATAATTAGAAGAAGATAAAGTACACCAATGTATTCAGATATTTTTTGTGTCCTTAAAATTGACCCATTCTTTCCCTTTTATAGCTATCTTGGAAATATGCGTCTTGCCTTTGTCATAATAAGGCCATTATAGATAATTAAAGACATTAAATGCTACGTTATATAATCATTGTATTTTAATACAGATTCTCTAACGTTTTTAGTATTTAATGCTCATTAAATATTGTATTTGTACTCTCTTGTGCTGTCAAATTCATTCTCCTTGATTCATGGACTTAAATAGGTACGAGCGTTGAATCATTTGAGTATCCGCTCGTGCCTCCTCTTATGCCTCTGCTCGTATCTGTTGCAACTCGTGCATCTTTTGCCAATCATAACTCTTTGACCAGTCTACGTGTCATGACACGTCATTTTCCAATCACTTTAATATGTAAACTCAATTTTTCCCAATACAGATAGTCCCCCCACTTGCCATTTATTCATCAATTGAATATTTGGGAAGTGGAATTCATTAAAACGAGAATTTTTGTAACCATTAATGCTATAGCAGAATCAACGCTTCATTTGTCACTTCCATTTAATGTTCTTCACGCGTGGCACCGTTTTACTGGTTCTGCAACTTTGCAGCGCTTTTTAGGGCTTTTTCTCGCCTTCACTAATCACGAAGCGTCAGTTCTCATTATGACTTTTCCATCATTGCCACATTTTCCTTTGACGGTTGCTTCGCAGTATAAATATAGTTTTCTCTTTTGTCTTTATCACATAAAGCTCTCAAAATATTCAGTTCTTGAATCTTTGTGTGTTTCTTCCTCGTACTATCATGTCTTCATCAAACCCTAACCCTAGGAGGGTCCCCATAGTTGATAACTTCCCTAATGCCCCCAGTAGGAGCAGAAGAAGAGGTAGGCTTCGTAATTTAGGATCTTCATCCTTGCATGGTTCTTCTCTTCCTTCGCCTAGTTCTGGCCCTTCTTCTAGAACTAGAGGTTCTCTTTCACACAGATCTTCTTCTAGAGGTAAGGAATCTTCTAAACCTCTTTGTGAACCTCTAGTAGAGGAGATAGTTCCTGCAGAACTATCTTTCTATAATGATAGAGAATCTCTTAGAAGTCAAGTATCTTCTTTAGATCGTGCTGATATCTATCCCACTCAAACCACTGAAGGTTTGATTTCTTTAGTTCATAGAGACTGCCATTGGAGTCATGATTTTCCTATCATTATTCCCAATCCGAATCAAAGAATTACCTCTTACTTAACCAGATTTTCCTTTGTCTATACGTACCCTTTCACATTAGGATTCAAACCTACTATTGATCCTGTTATTCTCGAGTTCTGTCGTTTCTTTGATGTTTGCTTAGGTCAAATTGGCCCAATAATATGGAGGGTTGTTGCCTGTTTGATGCATTTGACCAACATAGCCAGTGTGCCTTTTACTTTCCCACATCTAATTTATTTTTACTCCCCTAGACTCTTTCGCAATGGTGTTTTTACACTAGTAGCCAGGAGCAAAAGAGTTCTAGTTAGCCCTGAAGTTGACAAAGACCGTGGTTGGTATGCCAGGTTTGTTACTGCCCCCACTGTTGGTTTAATGGGCGATGAGAACGTTCCCTTCCCTGAGAAGTGAAATTTTGCACGTGAGTCTTCTAACTTTCTTGTACCTTTTTCTTCAATTTTGTTGATTTTTCTAATTTTACTTTTCTTTTCTAGCAACTATGGGAGTTGTGGAAGATGTTCCCAATTTCCGTGATTGGGTAGGAAAGTTGTTGAGTATTGCACCAATGGATGGTAGATCTTGGAAGACCCTTTCCCAACGTTTTGGTTGGAAAGTAAAAACTCAAGGTAAGAGTTTTTATTTTATTTTACATATTATTTTTTCCTGAACTTATCTCAATCCTTCTTTCTATCAGGATTTGCTATTTGGGGAGTTACTGCTAAGGCGGTTATGACTTCTCGTATCTCTTTGGAAAGGTCTCAAGAAATAATTTTGGGCTCTTCATCGAAAAGAAAAGCCATTGATGATCAAGACTCCAAAGAAGAGGAAGACGAGGGTTCATTGGTAATAAGGCCACGGGCTCGTAGACGCATTATTTCCAATGATGAAGTAGAAGCGTCCCCCCGCCGTTCTCTTCCTCTTACAAAATCTGTTGAAGCCTTGGTAGTGATCCCTGATGATGTTTATAATGCTCCCGTTGCTGCTCATGATTCTGTTGAGCAGCTTTTTGACCACATGTTTGGTAGTGAAAGTTTAGGTCCCGTTTCTGATGAAGCTCCCTTGGCTTCTTTTTCTCCTCTCGTGCATGTGACTCCTACTTTGCCGATTATGGATGCTTCCGTTCCTCCCCAGGCTATTTTACTACTTCTACTATTCCTCCTTCGATAAATCCTCCTCCACTTGCTCACCATGCTGAGGTTGGCTCCTCAAGTAGGAGTGGTGCTATGAGGCAAGTGATTATTGAAGTCCCCGTTGAGGGCAACTTTTTAAGGAAATCGGGTCAAGCAGATGTAGGCTAGAGCCTTTAATTGGTCCTGTTGAGAGAGCCAAGCTAGAGAACCATAGTTCTTTGACTTTGATGAATGACATTATGCATGCTTCTTTAAAGGTATTCCTTTTCTCTAACTTTTACTTTGTCATTTTTCTATCTTTAGGATTCTCATTTCTTTCCCTTTCCCCCCTTTTTAGGCCAATCTCATCAGCACGGAGATGATGAAAAGGGTTACCCTCTCAGAGCTGTTAGTGCGTGATTACCAATTGGAGGCATATAATTGGAAGGAACAGTATGAGTGTCTTCAGATCGACGTGGAGTACTTAGAAGAAAGAAAAAGTACCTTGGAGCAGCAAGTGTGGGCTTTGACTTCGGAATTGGCAGTTGAAAAGGCTTCCTCCAGTCAAGCAGACAAGGAAAAGGCTCGTCTTGAAACTTCATTTTCCGAGCAGCTTTCCAAGGTGAGTGAAGATATTAGATAGTTGAAGGCTCTTTTGGATGCAAAAGAAGCCTATGCTGGTGAACTCGTGCAGAATTTGACTCAAGCCCAAGAAGTCCAGGTTTCTTCTGATAGGGTTTGTTCCTTAGAAAATTCTCACGCCTCTCTTCAAGCTTCTTATGAATCTACCTTGGCTGAAAATAAAAAGCTAAAGAACGAAATCGTTGACTGGGAAAGAGATTATGTGATCCTTGAAGATAAGTCTGCCATTGAAGTAAGTTGGGCGTTTTTGAATTCTCGCCGTGATACCCTTGTTGAAGCTAGCCAAGAGAATTTAACTTGGAATCTGAGTTAGCTAAGATCAATGAAACTATTAAGAAGACTCAGCAGAACCAAGATTTTCCTTCTCCCGTGGTTGAAACTTCCGCAATTGTTGAAGATGATACGGGTATCCCCATTCCTTCAAGCCAAGTTAAACCCGCTGCTGTTGATGTACCTGCTTCAGTTCCTTCGTCTTCTCAGTGACAAGTTTAAGTTGTTTGAATTCCTTTGTGTCTTTTTTTTTTCTTTTTGAAAAATTGTGGTTAAAACCCTTGGTCTCATTTGAGGCTTTGTTTTGGAAACTTAAGTCCCTAGACCTTGGGCAATATGTATAAATAATTTTCAGTTCATACTTAGGCTAAGCTTTTTAATATTAAGAAGTTTTTCGTTACTATTTAAACTTCTGTTTTGTTTAGTCTTGCCTTTATTTCTAAGGACTTACTAAAAAACTTGCATTTTTAATCTTCAAAAAATGCTTCCGTTAAATTCATGAATACTTAAATTAATCATGAATTTTATAAAAGAGGGCCCTTTTATATTCGACACTTAATGAAGAAGACGTCTCAACTTCATAACGGTGTTAATATGTGATAAAAGAAATAGGAATACATATGTTTCTTGAAATAACTATGACAAGTTTTTATTTGAACTTTGTCTAGTTTTGAATAACACTTTACATGTATTGGAATTGCATCTATAACTTTCTCGTAACTGTTTTTCTTATAACGGATTTAAAAAAGAAAAATAAACACGAGGTTTATAAACACGAGGTTTTTATTTATAACCCGTTTCAGTACATTGCTTTTACCCTAGCTATGGTAAGGTCTTTCTTTAGGCTTAGCTCGTGACTTTGCTTTGTGCTTGACTCATTCATTGAGTGAACTTTTCAGGCTTGATATTTGATTATTTCCCAATCTTCTTTGCCTTCTTTATACACATGCATGTGTTTATTATATAGTCCCCCAAGTGTTTGAGCGTTGAAGTATGAAGCCTCGAGCACT